TTTGTATATAAAAAAATATACAGGGTGTTTTTTAATAGTGCAAAAAATTGCCAACTACAGATTCTACATCGAAAAAGAACACTAACTTGTCAAATAAACCATAGTTTTTTAGAGCTTCGTTACGGATATACAGGGTGATAAAGCTATATGATAAAAATTAAAATTCATTAGTTTTTTTCCAAATCACTTGAGTTATTTCTATAAAATTTGTGAGCCACTGTGACTTAAGGAATCACTCCTCTAAATCTTTTAATTTTTTTTTTCGGACACCTGTATATTCTCGCCAATTATTATTTTGATCATTTTAATAGATTAAATAGTACTTTTGAACACTTTTGAAGTTTAATTTTGTGTTCTATTTGATTTCAAAAATTGTTTTGATTTTAAGAATTCCTGACGAATTATTCTAAATCAGCCGTTTTTTATTTTTCTTTTTAAAAACAAGTCAAAAATTTGAAAAGTGGCCTGTTTTTCCACATTATTCACTATTGAAAAATTAGTTTTAAAGACACAATTTTATTATTTTGATCATTGTAATGAATGAAATAATACTTTTGGGCACTTTTGAAGTAAATTTGTTGTGTTCTTTGTTGTTTTTTATTTCTATTTTTGACTAATGTGAATAATTAAAACGAAAAATAAATATAAATTCCGTGTCATGTGCCGATTTAGTTACAAACTAAAACCTGTTTCTCTTTAGCCTTAAGGTTCCAAGTTTTTAATTTTATATTAAATTAAGTCAAAAGGGGGGGCATTTTTAGAGTAGTTTAGCTTCTTTGGGAAGCATTTCTGGACATATTTTTTTTCTACATTGACCTAAGAAACAACCCTGTCAATTTTTCAAAGTTTTTTTTGAACAGCCCTGTATATTCTCGCCAAAATTTTGAGGCAGAAGTTATGCAGTTTATCAAGTCTTTTTTTTTTTTCTACATTATTCACTGTTGCAAAGTTAGTTTTAAAGTCACAATTTATTATTTTTATCACTTTAATGAATTAAATAGTATTTTTGAACACTTCTAACGTAAAACTTTTGTGTCTTGTTTGATTTCAAAAATATTTGAAAAAAAATTTAATAATTAAGACAAAATTGAGGTATATGCGCCATCTGTTGCTTTAGAAACAAACTAAAACCTGTTTCTCTTTAGCCTTAAAATTTCAATTTTTAATTTTTATGTTAAATGAAGTCAAAACGGATCATTTTTAGCGGGCTTTAGCTTTCTTAGGAAGCATTTTTGGAA